ATTATTCATGTCATATCTTCTGCCTTGTCGAATATGATACGGAAAAAATCGAATTTTTTTTTTTTTTAAAACAGCAGAAATTTCGAATTCGCAATATGCTGGTTATTGGAGCTGTAACACTGGCTTAGGTTTTTACCTCAGCATCCTAAATTTTTAATTTTCTTCTCGAACAGAATAACACGAGTTCAAGCAAGTCGAAGTTTGAGTTGGCCCATGAAAGGTCCTTTCAGATTTGTTGTTCATAAACGATCGGGGGCTTTGATCCCAGTATGTCTTTTTTAGCTAGCATTTGTACAGTTGATCTGCGCAAGTGCATCCAGAAGCAAAAACCCCACCAATATACAGCTATGTGGAAAATGTATGAAAATTTGCAGTGGTTCAGAGTGAGGCCTGTTGAGACGTAAGACTTATAAGATCCGATATTTATGAGATTTTGATTGACGTATGAGACTCAATTGTTGCTTTTCGAGGTCTTTTTTGTCATTTTCATGGCGATTTGAAATTTTTACAAATATTTCCAAATTCTCGCTTACCACTGGACCAGTCTTTCAGGTTAGTGGCGTGGAGCAAGTGCGTGAATTGGCCAGTGGTAGTACACGTATTCGGGATGATACGTTGGGTATAATTGGCCTTGGCAGGGTCGGTACAGCGGTTGCGTTACGTGCCAAAGCATTCGGCTTCAAAATTTGCTTTTTCGATCCACATTTGCCAGAAGGTGTCGATAAGTCGCTGGGCATCGAGCGTTGTTACAATCTGGACGATATGCTCTTCAAAGCCGATTGTCTTACGCTTCACTGTCCGCTGACCGACGAAACAAGACACATGATCAACGATGTTAGCCTCTGTTTTGTTATTTCGAATCTTCTGCACACATCTGTGAGCCTAGTTAGCGCATTAGTTGGAAGGGAGGTGTCCAGCGGAGGTGCATACGTCTGATGAAAACGACAGTTGCTGGTGAGGCATGTGACCTAAAACAGAAACTTTTGGTAATACTATTACTCGCGATACGTAACTTCATCGCAGTAATCTCGAGAATTCAGACATTCACAGCCCATCCAGTCTTGACCGAATAGTTTTTATGGCACTTATCCAGTGATATCGTTATCAGCTCAGTCCAGAGCATCGTGCTGATCTTTTGTCTTGAAGTTGATATGAATGAGCAGCTTTACCGCACACGTAGGGCAGGCAGTTTTTTTTTCGTCATCATAGAATGTTTGGAATTTGCAGATGACAATCAAACAAATGCGACCCGGTGCATTTATTGTGAACACATCCAGAGGTGGTCTTATCCAGGAAAGTGCACTGGGCGAGGCATTAAAGTCGGGTCATATCAAAGCGGCTGCGTTGGATGTCCATGAGCATGAGCCCTTCGATCCACTTACTATGGGTAACTTTTTTTATGCTTCATTCATATATATGTATATATACATATACATATGTATATGTATGTATATATATATATATATACATACATATATATAGTATATGCTAATGGCATTTTTGTTTTTTCAAGTCGTGGGCAACTTATTGCCAGTTGAGCATTGATTTTTACATTACCTTTCTGGAGTGGGCAGGCTCTAAGTTAATTTGTTGTGGTTTTACCTCCCGGTAGATACATTTTGTTCTGTAGGGCTTCGCCATGTTTCTGACCTATAAAATTCCTTATGTATTTAAAATTATCTGTTTTAATATTCGTATGAATGGAAATTGATTTTACTCAACACAAATGTGCGTATCTCTGTATGATAAGAAAGATGAATTTTTTTTAGCAGCGATATTTTTGTAAGATTTTGAGCGGGTTGTACTTTTCATCATTTTTTGACGAAACGCTGGTAGGCAGTTTTTTTTTTT